TTGCAAAAATCACAAAAGTCAATCTTCTGTAAACCCAAAACCTTCCCTAATCTCTGAAACACACCTATAAAAAAAATATTTTTTCAACTCCAAAAGAAAACCATAGCTAACCAAGTAGTAGGTATTTGGTGGATTTGAACAGTGGAAAGATAAATCATGGAAAAGATATGAACATATTAAATGTTCAAAATGATCAGACGATATTAGGTGGTTTTTCGATAGTTTTAATTTTTGGGTTAAAATTTAGATATGTTATTTTTTAAAAGGTTTTTAAGAGATCTTAATGGTGAAAAAGTAGATCAAGGGGAAAAGAACAACATACTAAAATTTCAGATCCATCAGGCAATGGAAATGTGGGTTTTTGGTGGCCTAAAATTTCAAACCAAAATTTAGATCTAGGATTCTCTAAAGGGTTTTTGAAAAATCCCAACAATGGAAATCAAGTGAAAGGTGAGAGGAAACCTCAATAACATTTTTGTGGTCATAAGAGGTGATAGTGGTGATAGATTTGAGTTTTTTGGTTTGGCTTTTCTTAATTTTTAGGCAAAAAACTTTTTAGGAAAATCTAAGTCGTTATATCGAAAAAGGAGGTAGTAAGGAGCATTCTAGTATTTTTTTAAAATTTTTTGATATTGGTGATCGGTGATCCATGGCACTGGTGATAATTTTAGTAGTCAGAAGTTAAAAGGAGAGAGAAGAAAAATTTTGAAAGAGGGAAGAGAGAAAGAGAATGAAAAAGAAAATGAAAAAATTTGGTGTTTTGGGGTTATTTATAGTAGAATCAAAACGACGTTGTTTTGATTAAAGTTGTAACCAAGCTACCAAGCTGAGCTAGGAACTAAGTCAAGCTGTGTTTCTGAGCCAAGCTGATCAAGCCATTGACTATGAGTTTAAGCCGGTTGACCAAGCCATTTAAGTTGCCCTTAAACTTTTTACAAAAGTTTATCAGGGGTGTTTTAGGTATTTTTATCATAATTTTTTTGCTCTATTTTTAATATATTTCTATTATTTAATTTCCAATTTTTTTGGTATTTTTATTTTATTTTTGTATAAAATTTTGATAAAAATAAAATAAATGATAAAAAGTAAAAAATATTTTTAATTGAAATTAATTTAAAATAATTGCTAAGGAATAAACTGAGGAAAATTTAAAATTTTAATTTTCTCTTAAATAATTTAAAAAAATAAATGAAATAACAATAATAAAAATTTTAATGAATAAGAATAAAGAAAAATAAAAAAAAATATAATAAATAAAATTATAAAATAACAATAAAATCACAAGTGGTGATTTTATTAAACATGTTTACATAAAAAAATTTAAAATATTCTAAAAGTGTTAGAAACATTTTAAAAGTTTTCAAGTATAAAAAAATATATTATCAATAAAAAATAAAATCTCAAGTTGTGATTTTTCATATAGAAAAAGTTCTAAAATATTCCAAAAGTGTTGGAAATATTTTTAGAATTTTTCATAAAAATAATATAACTATATTCACTACAAATAAATAAAAAAAATTAAATAAATGCATAAAGAAAAGAATAATAAATATAGTAATAAAATCACTAGTGGTGATTCTTAGAAAAGTATCTCTCAAAAATTTGCCAAAATTGTTGGTACGATTTTTGAAAATTTTTTCAATAAAAATTAATAAAATATAAAATACTTAAATTGTCAAGGTAAATAAAATTTTACGAGAATAAAAGTCACGAATGGTGACTTTATCAAAATTTCTTAGGTAAGGTATTTTCTCAAAATAGTTCGAAAGTATTGGAAATATTTTAGGAATTTAATTGATAATTTTTTTTGCTTTAATAATAAAAGTAAGCAATAAATAAATATTATAGAGTAGATTAAAGTTTTCGTCAATTAAGAGGGAATCGCAAGTGGTGATTTTTCTTTAAATTTTTAAAATCATACCATAAGTTTTGGTATAAAGAAATTATAATATACTTTCAAAGAATTAAAATAAATCTGATGACGAAGTCTCTTCAAGGAAATAAGTGATTCTTTTGAATATTTTTAAGGTGAGAAAATTTCTTAAGTTATACCGAAAGTATCGAGAATAGCTTAGAAAATTTCAATAATAAAAAATAATAAATAAAATGAAATATTAAGTAAAAGATTATTCAAACAAGATTATTTTAAATATCTTATAAGATTAATTGGTACTATCTTCAAAAGGGCATTGTTGGGATACTATAACTTTTTCTACATGTAATCATATTTTCGAACCCAATCTCAAATTCATAGACTAAAAAATAAGGTTGGTGGCCAATTGTACCTCAACAAAAAAGATTGGTGGTAACTCTTAGACTTTTTATGTCTAGTGATCAATACTAGTTTCTTTTCGCAATCTTATTTAGGCAAATGAGAAGAAAGCATAACAGGGGAGCAAAAGAAATAGAAAAAAAAAAGAAAAACAAAAATGATAAAATGGTGTTAATTGCCATGTTGGCAATTTAACTACCTAGACAATGACATGGAGTTAAATGGCTTAAAATACCTTATTTATGGAAAAAAGATTAAAAGTATTCTATTATAGGAATTAAAATTTTAATGTACCTTATTATAAGAAAAAAATTCACAAAATGAGGATGTAATTGTGTAAAAATATTATAAAATTGCTTAAGAAAAAAAATAAAAAATATTATAAAGGTAAGTTCATAAATAAGATATCAAGGAAATTGTTTTCCTTTTTTGCCTTGACAATTCAGGGTCAACAATAACCACATGCTCATTGTTTACTAGTTGTTTCACTCAAAAACCTAACAATATCTTCTTTGCCTTGGAATTAGACAGTTGAGTTTCGACCATTTGGTATGACTTGAATAATAGCTTAGGCTAGCATTAATATAGAAAAAGCTTGGTCGAAACCTATGTTTTTGAAAAATATGAATTTTCGAAGGAAAATGTAAGAGAAGTATATTAAATAAACAAAGATATATATGATAATTATATATTTTTTATTTTTTATTTAATCAATTTATTTATTATTAAAATATTTAGTAAATAATAATTAATTTATTTTAAATGAAGAAAATTTAATAAATTCATCTCAAAGTCAATATATAATAATTAAAGGCCAAATGCTCAAATTGTGATTAAACGTTTGGGTGATTGTTCAATGCAAGACTAAATGTTTTAATTTACAAAAATAAGGATCAAAGGTTATAAACTTGTAATAATATGAGATTTTTTTCAAGGGAAATTGGAATGTGTATGATACATTTTGTTAAGTTTAAAAGCCATTACAAACAAATATGATGTGGAATTAAGTTGACCACATGGAATGATAGGTGGAAAAGCTTATTCTTTTTTTTTTCTAAGCTTATTTCATTTCAATTCTTTTATTTTTTTATCTTTTTCAGTGGAAAAATTGGAGAGCTTAAGGTTTACAAGCTACAAGTCTTTTTCTCATTTCTAATCATTTTTCACAGTTAAAAGAGGAAAAATCTCTGTTTAAATAACATTTGAATACAATGTTTTTTTTTTTCAAATATTAGTTCATCTAGCAGCGTAAATTCAATGTTAATAAAAATTTTAGGTTTTTCTCATACTCTGATTTAGGTTAAGATTTCTCTGAATTTGTTCTTTAAAATATTAAAATTGCAAAGGTTTCTAAAAGAAGGTCTTATGATATAAACAAATATAAGTTAATTTCAATCAATTACCTTATTGAATGAGGCTTTAAAGAAAATCCATTTTCTATTACTACAATATAAAGGTAGATATGTGAACTTTATAGATGAATAGCAATTATGGTAAAAGATTTTATAGATGCTCACATTATCCTATAAATTTACAAACAAAATAAATTCGTAATAAAATTTACAAATAAAATATTCTTTGGTGTGATTGTTGGTATTTTTTTGCTGATATTTCTTTAGTGTGACTGTAGGGTATTGTTTGTGGATTTCATTTATGACATGATATTAAAATTTTCAAAAGAACAAAAAACATTATTTTGGAGCTAAAAAAGAGAGAAAATTTTTATATAGTCATATTCAAAGTTTGAAATATAAAGTTTCAAAGTTGAAGGCAAATGTTAGTGAAGTTGATGTTATTGTAGAGAATATACAGCTAAAAAGAGAACTTAGTATTTTGAGGTTGAAATTGAAAGAAAGTAGTAAAATTGCTTATGGTGGATATGGTATAGATGGCAATTGGAAAATAATTTGACTTATCACATTCTTTTTTATACTTATGTTTTGTGTAATTTTTTTCAATGCTAAAAAAAATTTGAAAACTTAGCTTGTATTCTTGACAGTGAGTTAGGGTTTTGAATGATATTTGAGATGTAAATGTTAGTTAAAACTTCAAACTCTTATTATGTTAATGCCAATTGAATCAATATTATTAGCTGTGAATTCTATTACTTTGGAATCTGATAATAAAAATGTGGTTGAGTGTAATATGTTTAACTTGCAATATGTATGAGTAAAGTAATATGATAATGATAATGGTTGCATTAGAAATAGAAATATAAATAGAAAATGGTTATATTTATAGAACTAATCTAATAATGAAAATGAATACTTAACATTTTATGTTTTATAACAAAGTAATATGATAATAGTTAACATTAAGTTAACAGAACATCCTTTTATACAACATTCAGTCAACAAAACATTTGGCTAATAGAAATCTAAATAGAAATTGTTCTTACAACATTAACAAAATAAATACTTAATATAACAGCTTAAACCAAATTATTTTAGCAAGAATAGTCAACAGAAGTTACACCTAGTTAGATTTTTTGTTTCCCAATATTTCTTTTAGAAGCTAGAACTTGACTTTCTTGAGTAGCAGTTATATTCTCGATAACCTTTCTTTTACTTTTGTTTATCCTAACTACTATCACTTTCTGGCTTTTTTTTTTTTTTTCAGGCTTTTGAATTGCATTTATCAAGTTTGAATGGCTAATATTTTATAAAACAAAATCATAAATATAAATGTTTGATAAAAAATCACTCACATTTAAGATTTGTCTCCCTGTTTATAAGTTTGTATATAATCCATAACCTTGCAAGCCTTTTATCTTGTTTCTAGTTGAAGCTCCTACAATCCTTTTATCATTGTAACTTCTAATACTGTTTGCTAAAATTGCTTTCTTTCCAGTGGTTATTGTAAAAAACTTGGACTTTGATAAGGGATTTATTTTTCCAAGAGTCATTCCATAAAGTCTCCCATCTTTTTTTGCAAAATATCTGTCACTAGATGTTGTTAGCTTTTTGGACTTAAGTTTTTCATTTTCAATGGCAATAATAGCAACAATAACAACAACATCATTAATTGGATTTAAAACTAGATTTGAAACATGTGTAGATGCAGTTGTAGTTGCAAATGTAAAACCAAAAATATTAGTTGAAATAGATGTAAATGTGCAATCAGATCTAGATACAGATGCAGAAACAGAAGTAGAAGCACCATAGTAGTAGTAGAAGCAGTAGTATGGTTTTTTGAACCATATACAACTTCAATAGGATCTACAGTACTTAATGCACCTTAGTTTATGTTTTAGTCTCCAGATCTGAGCACATGATAATCTTGCTATCATGGAAAGAAAAATAAAATTGAGTTGATGGGTTAAGGTTTGTGTATTTATTAGTTAATGCAAAATAGTATAATGTTTATAATAATAAATAAAAACAAAATAAAATTAAATTACTTCTTTGCCTCTTATAGGACAACCTTTTTATTATGACCTAGTTGATGATATAGTTTACATATCATTATCATGCCTTTCATCAACAGATTTATTAAATTGTTAGACATGTTTTTCTTGGGCTCTTCATGATCCTTTTTTCTATTGGTTTTGGGCTAGTCTGGCATCTTTCTAAACTTTAAAGGCAGAACCTTTCCTTTTGTCCTTTTTTTCTCCTAGGCATAAGTTGTAAACCATTACTATAAGTCAGTAGAAACACTTCCTTATGATACCAACTAGACATAAAATCTTCAACATTTTCATCTAGATCTTTAATTGCACATATGACATGTGTACATAGGATACCAAAAAGTGGGTACATTCTACAACTACATGTCTTCTCATCAAGTTGAATAGTGAACCTATCTAGACACAAATCTAATTCATATCCACCATCTCTATTAAATGCAACTACATAATGTAATGCTATGGATGCAATTTTTTCTATGACTTTTACAATATTAGGACCAATCACACCACTCCACCTAGAATATTCTTTTCTCTTCTTCTCAATTCTTACCATCAAATTCTTTCTTATGTCTTCAAATAAAAAAATCACCGACTTTCTTATTGCATCTAGTAATGTCTTATTGAATGTTTCACATAAGTTGTTGTTAACCAACTTATATCTAGAGTTTGTGTTGAAGAATGCCCTACATTATAGCTAAGTAGGGCTTTTATTATTTAGTAGTTGTAGTATCATCTTTTTCTTGTAATTTTCTCATATTTTCTTCAAATTGACTAACTATTAAAGACTTGGTAATTATCTAAAAAGCTTGTTTCATCTTATCACTCCTATGCCTTACTTAGCTTAATTAACATATAAATGCCTAGCACAAAATCTGTGTTCAGCATCTGAAAGTAACTTTGTAATTCCATTATCAAGGCCTTACAAGTGATATGAAAATAATTAGTAATTAGTTTAACTATTGAGTACATAATTTAATCTAAATCATTATTTAAATATTTACCTTTTATTGATATGTCATGATTGTCTAGCCTATTCCATTTCTCAAAGACATAATGTTTGATTTCAATAAATTAAGAAACCATTTCTATGAAGCCGTGCATTCCATTTCCACCAATGCCCAAGCTACTAGAAATATTTGATTGTTTTCATCATTACCAACAGCATATAGCAACTCACTATTTATCAAGCTTTTAAGCTAACAACCATTTAGTCCTAGAAAAGGCCTACAACCACTATCTAAACATTTTTTAAGTGCCCAGAAACATATATAGTACCTTTCAAATACAAGTGGAGAAGTTAACAATGGCCTATGAACTTGTATCTTCATTATGTTGCATTCATTAGTTTTTTTTATTACATTAGTATAATCTTATAAAAGTCTAAACTCATCCTCATAATTGCTAATCATTTTATCAGCCACCTCCTTTTTAGCCCTTCTTATCATGCTAATATTTACCTTTGTATCAAAATTTTCCCTTACTCTTGTACTTCTACATTCTTAATAAAAATATTTTTCATAAATCTATTTGTGTACAACTCAACCAAAATAAATTGACTCATCCTTAGGTTTTTAAAAATCTTGTTGCATTTATAAATGTTATTGTAAGTCTTCACTTGAAATGACCTGTAATTTTCTGTTATAAGCTACATAAATTACCCAATGACATTGTTTTGCAACACCCTTACTTTTAACAAAATTTTATAGTTCTTAGCCCAAATGATTCCCTTAGTTATCCTAATAGAAAGTAATGACACAACATATTTAAATTATTTTAAATTTTCAAACAACATGCCTAACTCAATGTAAGGGGTTTTTGCATTGGGATCATATAGTGAAAACTTACTTCTCATCTTAGTAGCATCATCAACCATTTTCTCTTCATCATTAACAGGTTCACCATACTTATCAAAGTTATAGTATTCACTTTGATATCCCTTATCAACATTATCATTAACTAGTGAGGCTGAATTTGGTTCCATTCTTTTGTTATTATCAACTCCATTCCTAACCATATTCACACCAATTTGTATTCTTTTATTCAATTCATTTTTCCTACCTTTATTTTTTTTAAATAACTTTCAGTTTAGATCTAGTTGCAACTATTTTTTCATCATCATTACAACTTAAATACCGAATTTGTATAAAGTAAATATGATCTTCCCTTTCATTGTTATTTCTATCACTTACATCTTTAACTTTTATCTTAACCATAACTTTATTTTTTACCCGTACTGCGTTTGCTGCCCTAACCACATCTTTGTTTCTTACCCTTGTTGCCTCAAGAACATCTTCATTCCCTACCCTTGCTTCTTTAACTACATTTTCAATTCTTATCCCTCAATTTCCTACTGTCATAGTTACATGCTAATTTTTTACCTTTTTATTACCTACTATCTTAGCTACATTTTCCACTTTAAGTCTTATTAATAACTTAGGAGTTAAAACAACTTCATCTATATCATGTATTATATATACATCAACTGCACCAAAATCTACTATATACCTAATCATATCCAGAGTGCTTCTGTTATCGTTTATTACCATTAGCCCATCAGGTAGTGTTTTTCTAGGTTTCGAATACAATATCTGGCTAATATTTATATGCCCAGCCATATTACAAATGTTCAAAACTTATAGTAAGAGATCTTATTAGGATCAACTGTCAAATCCTCTTTTATCTTATTTATATACATAAGATTATGACCATTATCAATAAGAGCCTCAGCATAATGAAATCGTAGAATACAATAATAAAAACTCATATTGCAAAAGCAAGAAAATTAAATTTGAGCAAGAATCATTTCAACAGTAGATAAACTTCTCTTTAGATAGAGAAGTAAGAATCATTTCAACAGTAGATAAAAAATGTATTCATTTGATATGAAATAGATAATGACATAGTGAATAAATAATAACAAAAATTTAAAAGTAAACATTCAACCAATGTCTAATATTTAGACTATTTCCAACTAATAGTACTATTTGTTGAATTAGTTTAACGTTGATTTAAATGGTTAATGCATATTTTTAAGTAAGGCAAGAAGAGAAAAGAGAGTGGTTGAGTTCATTCGCTAAAGTAGAACCTAAGAGGTGACATAAAAGTGTGGTAAATTCTTCATTTATTTGTGAGAATGGCTCTTACCATGTCCTTGACAATGAAAAATGCAGTTATGTCCACAGTCCACAGACCACTATTATTCCTATTATTTCATTTAAGAGAAACTTTTAAAACATAGACTTTTTTTTTTATAATAAGCAAATTAATCTTGAGTGTTGGCTAACACACTATTTGTGAGTGCCTATGCCTCTAATTATTCATACATATAGCAAATTCATAAATGGAGCTTTTGGCTCAATATGGGAAACTATTATACCATTTTAACTAGGCTTTAGGATTAATGGGTTGGGTAGTTTATGAATTCCCGTTCTTCAAAAAATAAGTATAAAAATGTGCATAAAAAATTTCTTACCTACTTTGTTATATTATTATTCTTATTAGTACTATAAATTTATATTATAAAAATATTAGGGCTTCTCTCTTAGATAGAAAGAAAAAAAAAGCCAAATAGCAATAGAAAAATTATATTTGACTAGCCCCAACAAGGTCTAGAGTTAGTAGTTGGCTTGTGAATTGGGAATTCAGGATTATCATACTTAAAATGGATATGAGGGCAAAGAAACAATAGGCTTCATAAACAATTAGGTTAGCCATGTACCATAATGGTTCTTCTTTAAGGATATAAGCCTTTTTAAGGTAAATGGGAAGAGATAGATCATCCCTAACTTGAGTCGAGTGGCTTCATGATATCTAAAGTAGTATATATTCACATATTACATCATTAAATGGAAAATATAATTAGAAGTATTAAATTTCAATATTGTCATAGATTAGTTCCTTAACTTTACCCTTTTCCATACTTTCGGGACAAATCACCTTACTTTTCAAAAAAATTAAATTTGAGCAATGAAAAACAACAGAAAACCCTAAACCATAAAATGCCTAACTATGAAGAGCAACAAAATAAAAAAATGCGTAAATATTATTCACCTTACACAAATTTAACAAAAAAAAATTACTAACCTTCAAATTTTCTCTTTTCAGGAGTCCAATACAATTGCAAATAACTCTTGGAAGATGTAAACAGAATCAATGATTGAACCATAAACAATTGAATCAAACAACTCTTTGAACAACATCAACTGGTGAAATTAACAATTGAAACATAATCAATGATTGAAATAGAAAAAATATTTAAGGTTAATGCATTTTCCTAAACTTATCTAGGTGATTATGGTTAACAATGACCTGCTTTGGGTTTGGGGCTTTTTTGCTTTTTTGGTTAAAACTTGGTTTTTTTTTTTTGTAAATAACTTTTCATTCGATAGTTTTTTTGACATAATACTAAAAAAAAAATTCAAATTAGCATGAAGTTTATCTAATTAGTTGGCTTTAATTCTTTTTACATGTTATTATGGCGTGTATCATGCACATCCCAATTTTCATTGAAAAAAAATTTATGTTGTTATAAGTCGATAACGTTTGATTCTTATTTGTACAAATTAAAACATTTAGTCCTGAATTAAGCAACCATCTAAACATTTAATCATAGTTTGAGCATTTAGCCATAATTGAATTAAAGATAAGTCTAAAATATTTAACATGTATTAAAATTAGAAAATAATTAAAATTTAATTGGAAAGTATTATAACTAATTAAATTTTTATTATGTTTAATGAAAAAATTTTTTAGTAAAAGAAAAAAATTGAAAAATAAATTATTAGTAATTAGCAATGAATATATTTATTTTTTCATTTAAGATTAACTTAATAAATAATACCTTCCTAGAAGGTGTTTTTCAAACTAAAAGAAGTGTAAGTATACTTTTCCCTAAACCTATTATTTATAATTATATGATTCTCTATTTTCTCTTCCTCATTTTATTTCCTTTGTTCTTGTATCAAAGGTGTAAATAATAATAAGGACCCATTTAGATGGGCGATGAGATTAGTTCTAGTGAAATTGACTCTTGTGATATTGAAAATAATGTAAAAGTGAGATTAATTACTGTAGGGTAAGATTGAATACTGTAACGATGAGTTAAAATTAGAGGTAAGATATGTGTTTAGATGCAAAAACAATGATGATGGTGAGGTGAATTATAATGAAAAGAGAAAATGACTATTAAAGACATTAATTTAAAAGTGTTCTAATAATATATTTTTTTATTTATGTTTTAATATTATTTAACATTTAATATATTAAAAATTTATTCAATCAATATATTGACACATATTAAATTATATTAAAATAACAATTAAAATTTTATGTATTAAAAATTATTTGAAATCTTTAATATTTAAAAAAATAGTACTTATAACAATTATAAATATAATATTAAAATAAAAATATATAACAAAATAAACAAATTCAAATATAAATAAAAAATAATTATTATTTAAACAAATCAAAATATATTTACACATCTTAAAATAAAAGTTAATAACACTAATTTATTTTGTTATTTATTTAGTTATCTATTTTAATTAATTAATTATAATTTTTTTTTAATATTTACTAGAAATTTATGTGATTATAACAATGGATTATTTGTATATATATTTATTATTTTTACCTATTTATTTATTAACAATGTTATTAGATAATTATATCAATGATGTATTTTATAATTATAAAAATTCTTGTACGAAGATAAAACGGGTATAAAAGGAAGGAAAGCTATGGTCCAAAATATAAAACTCCACCGAACCTTAAAGGTTCAGTTGAATAAAAAGGGGCAGCACGGTAGATTATGTTTCATCGTGACACAACAGTATTTGCCAAATGAGTGTACGATGATATCCAAAGCAAAATTCGCATCTCATTGGTACTACAAGCTGATCCAAATGACGTCTAAGAGATATTCAACAAGAAATCTATATAAATATATTGGAATAAAAGTCAATATGCCCAAACTTGATGTCATAGATTCTAATCGTCCAATTCAATAGGCGTAATCATTTAAATTTTGATGATTTTTTTTTTTTGGCTAAATAGATACTATGGCTTAAACAAAGTTTGCAACATTTGCCACTACTTGAATTTTTGCCTCTTCTCAAGTCATTTTTACTCCATGATAACTGAGCTTATTTCGTGTTATTCCACCCCCATTTGAACACACTCAATCCTACATAAACCCAGAAGTAGCTTGATTGGAGAAGCTGAGGTTGGCAACATTGTCTAACTGTTTTTGTAACAAATTGTTGAAATCAGATTCGGCTTCAAATTGTTGAGCTTGCGGGTGCTTGGCATGAGATTTCAGAACTGCAACCTCGGCCAGGGTCTTAGCTAGCTGGCTTTCCGCATCGTGTATTTGCTGTTGCAGCAGAAATACGAGCCCAACGCAGCCATATATAGGGTCTTCAACCCGACATTGTGCCTCGAAGTATAAGGAATCCGCTGCTTCAGCTCGCAAATGGGTTGGGAGTTGCTGGATAATCAGAGGCAATTAAGTTAAACTATTCTTGTCAAACAGCATAGTTGGTTCAAAAATTATTAAAGGCTCTTCAAATCAAATGCAATTAGGAACTTGCAATGGGAAAATTGTAGAAAGAAGCTCGCATGGGTGACAGAATATCAAGTAGGCTTAATACTAATTGGACTACAAATCTAAAAACAAAATCATAAAATATTTATATCAAGAGTTTATAATTATATACAGGGTGAGGGAGATTTACCTGAAGTAGTTTTCCGACATTGCTGGCGCCATAGATTCTGTGAACAGAAACAAATCTTTGGGGATTATTGGATGGAAAATAAGGAGAGAAAATGCAATCGGGAGCACATCTTCTTCTTAAATATCTACAAGCCGCACAACGACCAGAATTCATGGCTCAAAAATATATTCAATCCCAAGCAAAGGATTCTCACAATCTCGTCTTGAAAAATAAATCTACTCAAGATTAGAGTTAATATATAGGAGAATTTAGTAAGGTTAGGAGATTGCACTAGCAATGGAGAAAATTTTAATTTCTTCCAACGGCTATTTTTTTTTTCAAATTTTGGGATTTGGAAGGGAAAGTTGCTAATATGGAGGGGATTGCCATATTTGCGCTGCCTGGAGAGAAATAAGTACGGGAAGCTTTTTTTTTTTTTTTCGCTTTTCATCTCCGATTCAGAATATTTAAACTAAAAAAAAAAAAGATAAACACAGAAATTTGCGAAATATATAGAATTGAACAAACCAAGTATATAGAGTACTACTACAATACCAAAATAAAACAACTGTAAAACCATGTCCAAGTTTCTTATAACCCAAACCAAACTATATGGTATCATTCATATCTAATTTAAATCCCAATCAACATATTCATTGGAGCTGCTTCATGATGATCAATTGCTCATGATGGATGATCAGATGCGTGCACCAATGATGTCATTCAAATTGAAGGTTGAAGCTGAACAAGGAATCTACGAAATCATCTCCCCAATTCTGCAATGAGAGCAAAAATCAAAACAAAAGGAAAGCTTTTTCTCAGGAAAGTTCTTTAAGAAGAAAGAATTTGATTTAAATGTAATTAACCATAATTCATTTATACAATTTCAAAGAATGAAAGCTTGACAGATGATGACAGGCCTGATTGTCTGATGAGTGATCTCCAGAAGCAGGAGCATTGTTCACTTGGAAATGTTCGCCTCCGCTTTGTTGCTAAATACATAACAACAGATGGATATGGGAAGGTGGCTAAGTGTGTTACATTAATATAACTTATAAAAACATAGCAAGCAAAATATTTCTTTTGTTTTCGTGCAAATTTCCTGTATCAGATTTGATGTGGGGTGGAAATTGAACTTGCCTGATTAGTGTTGTGATTAAAATTAGTTGGATGAGATTCATCCGAAGGATAAGCACCTCCTTCAACGCTGATGTTCATCAACTCTTCATTACCACTTTGAACCTGGGCAGACCAACAAATGTGAGAAAGGTAGGGGGTAGTGGAATTGGGTAAAAGGTGACGGAAGATCCTTATTCGGGAATCAGGAAAGTTGTGGACTTGCCTGCCAAGAGCTTGCTCACTCCCAGGAGCGGTTTCGTCTAGAGACAACGATTCAGAGAAGTCAGAGTTCAGAAGTTCGTCAAGTTTGGGGTAAATTTCCAGAAATATTGAGCTGCTAGAAAATTCAGGATTCTGGACGCCATCCCCACCAGCTTGTGCTGTTCCGATCAAAATCAATTTGTTTGACAAGAAGATTTTCAAGTATCAAACAGAATGAAATCGATAGAACCAATTTGCTCAATTGCTAGAATAGAAATGTAGTACCTGATTAGGGAACTGATAGCTGTTCGACTCACGGAGGAGGTCGCTGAGGTAACCGTCACCAAGTTGTTGATGAGAAAGAGTTATGTTGTCAAGATTGTAAGCATTATTCATCAGATGATCAGAATTATAATCAGTTATTCCTCGAAAGGCCAAGACCAGCCAACATCGAAGTGTTTGCTTGTTGGTTTGCTACAGTACTGTAGGCTGGTGAAACTTGGCTTGCGCCATCTAACCCTGCGAAGAGAACCCTCCTTGAGCCACTGAACGAAAAGTTTGATTCCCCAGGGCTGCAGCATTTATTTTCTCCTTGTAAGTTCCATTCATTGATCCATAGCTGCCATTAAGACGGTTTTGACCCATTCCAAGTAGTTCATCAGGATTCAACTCCGTCTAGCAATTATTATTGGTGCAACTAGAATTTAGAGTAGGATAGGGAGTACTAATACTTCCTATGTTTCCAGTGCCCAGAATAGAATTCGAAGAATGAAGGCCGGTGAGCCAAATCTGAACTGTGACGAGGAACCAGCATTGTAAAAACTTGGCCTTACTTGAATTTGCTGTTGGTACTTGTTCATTGAGTTTGCACCATTCATCAGGCCAATTGACGCATTGACTAGGCCACCAGACAAGCCACCATTTAGTAACAAATTCCAGCCATTCGCATATCCCAGGCGATTACCCTGATAGAGTGGATTAGTGTGGCCTGAGACCTGTCGCTAGTTAGCTTGATTGCCCAACATACAGGATTGTCCACATCCATGTGGCTTAGTGCTTGAAGCATTCTGATTAGGAAAGAGTATGGATCCAAGGGTAGCAGCATTACGAGCAGAAACACTCCCCTCATATCCTGGTTGGAATGATAATCCCCTCATTTGTTGCAGTTGTTGCAATCGTGAATATTCTTGGGCGGTTTTCAGCAACAATGGATGGCCACATGCAAAGCGTGACTTAAGGCCCCCCTCAACTAAGGCATTTGATGAAAAACAATTCCTCTCGCTACACGCTTTAAGAAGATCCGATACTTCTGCAAAATTTACATAAGCACAAGGAGGCATTAGCCGTTAGGGATTACAAACCATCGACAAAGTTTCAATAGTTCTTGCGTAAAGATTCTAAACAAAACAGAAACTCCAATCTTATACAAAATAGTACTGGTTTTTCCTTCTTTTGGTCAATATTGAATTATTCAGTCGTAAATATAAATGTCTTTTTAATTTTTTAACGTAGTTTCCTTGCATTGTAATTAATCATGGATGTAATTAAGCTTTATTTTATGCGTGATAATTTAAAAGTTATAAGAAGTTTTTAGTATGTACGGGAAATGATAAATCAAAAGTTCTTTTACTTTTAAAAGCATATTTGGCTGTTGTGGGCACATTTTTTCTATACCTTTGACAAAATGGGCTTCAGATTTTTTTTTTTTTTTTACAAAAGAAATCATAACCTATGGATAAGATAAAAAAATTACAGATTCTAATATTTAAACTCCAAATCTTTTAAGAGTGATAATATAAATAAGAGGAGTTAAACTTGACTTCAAAATGTACTTTAGATTTAACATCTCTCACATTCATCTTTTAATAAAATCCTTTTTTCCCTTTTTTTTTTAAGTTTTAATTGCCTTCATTGTAACTAGTCATAGAATTTCACCAATAACCCTAAACTTGGTATGATTAGTAGCATTCATTAATATATGTAGTGTTAAAAATAGTGACTCAAGTCTCATAAGAGATTTGTTTTGAGATTGATTAGATATTATTTAATAGATAAAAAAGCTTGTAGGAGAAGAATTCTAAGAGAAAAAAATTCTTAATAGGCAAATTTATATACTTATAAATAGTGGAGTCTTTATGTAGTTATGTATAAGAAAAGAATGTAAGGGAGTTATATGACTTTATTAGGTAGACATCCTATAAGACCAGAGGAGATTGAGAAGGTCTTTATCGGTGTGTATGCTTAAGTAGACTAGAAAATAATTGGGTTCACATAAGTATGGTGCATGTGTGCATTGGTATGTGTTTGTTTGGGGTGAGACTATTCTATAGGACTAGAAAAGAATGAGAGAGTTTATAAGCATTGATTGTAAGTGAGTTCAAATTGATTATTTATTTGTAATTATCTACAACTAATAGATTTTTTTCATTCACAAACGTAGGTCGGTTGGACTGAATCATATTAAATTATTGTCTTTAGCGTGATTGAGTAGTCATTTGATTTTGCTTTTGCTGACGTGATTGTTTAATTTGATTGTGGCTTCTTTGTCTAACAATTGATATCAGTTATCGTAATCTTAACAACTGATATCAGAACTGAAGATTCAAGACATGGGAAGAGGTAAGCCTAGAAGATCTCAATTCAAATGAAGAGTTTGAATTCATGTTTTGAGATTGGTTTGCATAAAGCATAAGAGAAGTTTGTTACAAGGCTTCTATTGTAAGTGCAGCCAAGCATATCTAGTATAAAAATTAATGATTTGAAGGAAGTTGAGTTAAAGTAGAGATTGTTAGAATAGTGACTTAAATCCCATAAAAGATATATTTTGGGATTGATTAGACTTTACTTGATGGATAAGAAAACTTGCAAAAAAAAAAGAATTCTAAAAAGAATGGATTCTTGATAGGCAAATTTCATGCTTATAAATAGTGGAGTATTTATATAGTTATGTATGAGAAAAAGATGTAATTGAGTTATAGGATTTTATTGGGTAGACACCCTATAAGATTAAAGGAAATTGAGAAGGTTCTTATGAGCATGTATGTTTGAGTGTACTAAAGAAGAATAAGAAGGTCTACATAAGTATGGTGCATGGGTGTATATGGTATGCGTTTGTTCAGGTTAAGAATATTTCATAATACTATAGGAGAATAAAATATTCTATGGGTATTGATTGTGAACGAGTCTGATTTAATATTTATTTGTAATTCTGTATAATTGTTGATCTTTTTTCTCAGTCGTGAACATAGGTTGGATGAGTTGAACCACATTAAATTATTGTCTGTTATATGATTGATTGTTTGGTTTTACTTCCACTAACTAGATGTTTAATTGATTGGATTTTTTCAAAACAACTGGTATTAGAGTTATCATGATTCTAACAAGTAGTACATATTAATTAACAAAATCCAATATCAATTCATTAAATAGTGGTACAACCAAAACAATTTGTAAATTTTATATGGGTGTAATTTTATAAAAAGAGTGGACTAGACATCCCTCATATTCTTTTCGGTTGATGCAAAAATTTTCCTACTCTTAGAAAAAAAAAAGATTTTAATAACTTGGACATATTTATGTAGTAGGTGATTTTCCCACCATATCAACTATACAAGCTGTCTAAAGTTGTATCCATATTGCTATTATAACCCATGATCAGATACATCAAAGTACTAGTAAAATTTTTCTTTAAACTGAAAATTATAAAAGTCTCTCTCTTTAACTTTTCCTAAGATATATATATTTAATTAAGTTTCTAACTAGTATAAGCACTTGATAAATATGATAATTAAAGGGGAAGTAATGAGATAATTAGCCAAAAGCAAACCTGTAAATGACTAGCCACATTTTCTCTGGTTAAGCCTTGCACGTTCATATGCTCATGAATCTTCTTGGGGACAACTTCTGCTTCATCTAAAAATAGAGAAAAAAATAACCACCAATCATAATTATACAATAATAGAGTTAAAAGGGTAAAAACAAAATAGAATATGAGCAAGATATATATCCCCATACTTTCCAGGCCAATATGTCTTAAGGTTTCCAAAAACTGGTTGTGAAGTGAATTTGGCCAAACCACCCTAGCCTTCTTGACCTTTTCTGAGGAAGATGCAGTTTCTTCTTCTTCTTCTTCTTCTTCTTGATCATCCTTCCCCTTCCTTGATAACTTTCTTTTGGATCCCATTCTATCATTGTTCTTTTCAACATTCACCGATGACGCCGATATTATTTCACCTTTAGATAATTTTCCAGCTGAAGATGATTCTCTTTCAATGCTTCCAATTTCCTCAATAACAACGGATTTACCTTTCTTGGGTGCCATTGCATAGTGCCATACAATTTTGAGATTATCAGGGTTTAGGGTTTTAACTATAAAAAATGCAGTTCCTCGGTCTAAGCTTTTTAACATGGCACTTTTTTTATCATCTGAGGACATTACTGCATAAAAAGGAAAGACAAATAATCCTTAAGTTTGTTATATATTTACAGATAAATACACAATTTAAAATTTAAATTGATGATGAAATAATTAATATAACATGACCATGCATGAGATGAAGTTAAATAGAGTATTTCTTCAATTGTTTGCCTATAAGTTAAAATCTTTTATTTAATACTTTTCTAACTTTATTCTTTAATAAATTATGACAATATTGAAGTTAAAACATCTTCTATGATTCATAAATTAAATGTTCAAAGAACTTCGATATGATAAATATCAACTTAAATTATTTTGTTAGTTTTCCTCTAAAGAGAGCTTTTCAGCAAGTATATTGATTTTTACCCTTTGCATAGAGAAAATGGTATACTACTTACTAATGACGGGCAATTTAAATTCTCGGTTGATTTGCCTTTGAAGCTCAATCCCATTCATTTCTGGCGTGTGGAGATCCATGACAACTAGGTAAATACCTTAATGTGCTCGAAGAGTGGATAAAGCATCGGCTAGGTTTTTAACAGTTGCAACTGAAATATACACATATAAGACAAAAAAATTATGAGTTTACAAATGTAATTAGTGGGAAACAGAAATTTAATTCAAGTCATTAGATCATAAGATGTAATTATGAAAATTAAAATTTCAAAAAGATATATAAGTAATTAAAAAAAATGTGCATGCATTATTATATTGTAATTGGCATATACATCCATGATTTTGATTAGTTTTTAAAATTAAAACAAGCAAAAGAAAAAAGAAAAAGGATAATTATCATTTATATCCAACTACTCAAAACTTTGAAGACACATTCTTTATACTGTGCTTAACATTGACTGTTCTCCATGCTTCTTTCATCATTAGAAATTAGCGGGTTTAATTCTTAATTCATTTGTTTTTCAATTTCACAAGAAATAGAGATTAAAATTTTAAAAATCTTCTCTCTAAAAAAAAAAATCTTCTGTTTAAGGAAGACTCTAATTACTAAGTTATATATGCTAAGGCATGCAAAATGTATGTATGTGTTTTTTTTAAGATTATAAGAATTTTATAACGGAGTTATCTAATAAAGAAAAAAAAAACATAAAAGAGTGGATAAAAAAGTACAATAACGATCTTATTTGTACTGGTCAACAAAAAAATGAGGGAAGTGCAAAAAGAAACGCATGCATGAGTGTGTGTTATGTCCTGTGTGAGTACCAACGAGACTGAGACCTAAGCACCAGATAGCGAGAAGAGTCTTTGGGTGTGCAACTAGGTGCCGAGGAAAAAAAAAAAACCTGCGTGAGAAGGCTCCAAAACACTCTAAGAGCCTGGGCGCAAAAGTTTTCAGAACTGCCCGTAGCCCAAGCCAAGCGCTCAGGCGCAAAACTTGCTTCAACCACCAGCCACTGGTACTGTAACACAAGTGTCTAGTGAACATGCATTGAAGGATCTAGAGTCCTTTGAACACAAGCCTTGCGAGGGAAGGGCCTGGACCTTTCTGTCATAACGTCTAGATCCGGGAATCTATCGCTAGACATTGACTTAAGGAAGTCACCACCAATCTTTTTTATCTAGGTGCGATTGGTCACCTAAAGAATCTGTCATTTCAGGGAACACATAAATTTAAGGGTCCCTAAAAGAATAAGATCAGATCTACTAATCAGAACAGGGTTCGGGAGTTCGGTTATGTGTGAGGAAGGTTATAGCACCCTCACAACGCCTATCAAAAGATGGTACCAGCTGAAATTTATGTTATCCAAAGAGCCTTAAAATTTTACCAAGTAATTAATTATTAAAAATTATTCTCAATTGACTCTAATACTTTTAGCAAAAAATTTAAAAAATTCTCTCACCTCAAGAGTATGCAAGAAAAAAAATTACTGTTTCACTTGCAGAGGCTCCGTCGTCGGATTATCTAAAGAAAAATAAAAATGAAACTCAAAATAAAAAAGGAAGAAAAGGATGATTGTTCTTGTGTAGGAAAAATTGATACTTTCAACTTTTCCCCAAAAATATTTTTTGAAACTTTTATTTTCAAGGAAAATTGATACTTTCAACTTTTCCTCAAAAATATTTTTTTGAAAACTTTAATTTCGAGAGAAATTGATACTTTCAACTTTTCCTCAAAAACCGCTTTTTTAAAAATTTATTTTTAAAAAAAATTGATACTTTCAACTTTTCCTCAAAAATCTTTTTTTTTTAATTTTATTTAAAGGAAAAAATAAAAATAAAAATAAAAAATGAAAATGAAATTTAAACTAGTAGCAAATGCTGGAATTGTTATCGGAGCTCCACCAGTACCAAAAATGGATGGTAAAGTTGAAAATGAAAGAGTAACAGATGAACTAAAAAGAAATGTACCGGTTCCAAATATAGGAGTTGCAGATGAACTAAATACCGAAGTTGTTGATGAAGTTGGGACAAAAAGGCTTGATGATGTTGATTGAAAAGGATTTGATGTAGTAGTCGAGGTTGTACAACCTGTACCATTAAAGGATGGCGGTTTTAGGCTAAATGGAGTGATACTTGTGCTGCTGGAAAATGGATTTGCAGACGTTTGACTGAACGTTGAAGAAGAATCAAAAGGACTAGTAGGCACGGTTGACACAGCAAAGCCAGTCTCTCCAGAAGGTTGAGTAGCTACCTGTGATCCACCTTTATCCTCTAATTGATAATCCTCCCATTACAGCTCCTCATGACTTTTATCTTTGTAAACAGGCATCATTGATATTGACTCCAGCTTTGCAGCTGGCTGTGCACTACTCCCATTATCTGCTTCGGTTGTAGGTGTGTAAAGAGCCACTCGACTTCTCCTACACTTTCTACACTTCCTGTTATTATTCCCAACTACCACCATCTTATCCTGAGCAGCACCACTCCCATGTGGTTGTGGTGGCACCACCTTGCGCCACCTTTCGTCACTGCTGCCGCAGCTAGACTCTGCATCATCTGCCAACGCGACTGCGGTGCCTTCCCCGCTCACATGGCGTTCCTCGCCAACATGAACCAGGACTTGTTCTAAATTGGTGCGTAGGGAATTGGTCGTGGCTTCATTTGTTTGTGCCAAGTCTCTCCACAGTTGGTTCTCTTCATATAGACGTTTAACCCTTTCTTGAAGGACCCAGTTTAGTTTCCCCATTCTCCACGAAGGAAATGATGGCTTGAAGTGTTGCTGAAACACCAGCTAGTTGGTGTTCATCACTACATTTGAAATTTACTGGTTTGTCAGAATTACACAAAATAAAGAAGTGCTTCTTCCGTTTCCTCCATGATATCGAAGCATCATCCTCATCGACGTGGTGTTGCGGTGCCATGGCTGAAAAAAAAATCAAAAATATTGGGCAGACCCAAGGTCTCTATTATTTCTGATATGACGTGCCTGAACTTGGTGCCAAGGCTGGGAGAAAATCAGAAATATTGGGCAGACCCCAAAGTCTCCATTATTTCTGAGATGACGTACACGAACTTGGTGCCAAGGCTGGCCATTGACAGGTGATCCAGCCTTGCTGTACAGCCTTGCTTTCTTAACATCCTGCACTCAAGACCATAGGGGTTAGCCGTTAATGTTTGACCAGCAAGCATTCGTGATCTCCTTCGTTGGGTAATTTCGTTTTGGCTGGAGAGGGTGCCTCCAGCACCTCGGTCTAATGGGATGCCCCCAGGATTTTGATTTTGCGATAGACCATGATCTTGGACGGTACTTTCAGGATTTGGGGATGATCTATTCTTAGACTGAGACAACTCTTGCACAAGATTTTTACAATAATTCTGAACGGGAGGTAATTTCTTGCAAGATGGTAACTCCATCTGGTTGACTTGGGCTATTTCTTCAAAAATCATCAGGCCCAGGCGCTTTGTTGGGGTGAATTTTGAGTGATGCAGAATGAATCTCCTCTTCTGTGACATCACTCACAAGAGCTTCATTCATTGTGGGTGTAATACCCGAGATATACCACTCACTGCTTCTGTAATATTTTACGGACTGCAGGAAGTGAAAATGATGGAAAAAGAGTCATGTATCACACCCCGAATACCCTCATGATCCTCTTTCCACGTACCACTGTCATAAAAACCAATCCCTGAATTTGATTATACCTTCGCCTATGAACACACAAAGCATGGGAAAAAAATGTCTTTTTATCACCAGCTTGAAGCCGATGAACCCGAGACTGACATCTCCAGAATTTATCTTCCCTCTTAAGATCCTGCTTCAATGATTTCGCCTTTACATGGTCATACACGGGCTGTCTAGCTAGCTTCTCCATTTCAGCAGCTCAACCCGAGGTTCCAAGCTATGTCACATCTGTCGTTTGCTCAGAGGGCAATCACAGGCACGTCACGATTGGCAAATGCGATGTCTTGGTCTTTAAGCACTTCTCGGGTCATGGAAGGGGAGATCAACCACCAAAGAGAGGCCTTGAGGGCTGGTGGAGATGGGGGCTTCCCCCATTTTTTTTCTCTCCTATTCGGACTCTTCTTCTATTTTTCCTCATGTTTTCTCCCCGTCCCCCTATTGCTGTGAATTGTAATGACATATAAAACCAAGTGATTGTGTTTCAGTTTGATTCCCATTAGTCATCAAATGCTAAAGATTAGCACCTAATTATCCTTTATGATCATTATCAAACTAAATCTCAATCTTTTTTTTTTTAAATAATCAAATAATAAAAATAGAAAAAGAAAATAAACAATAAGTAGACCATAAGATAAAAATTAAAAAATGATAAATATGAAATAAAAATCTGAAATAAAAATAAGAAAAATAAAAAAAATTTACAATCGAGCTTTGATCGATTTTAATTGAGAAAAGACCTCGGACAAAATGGGGTGTCTACAGCTGCCCCTCTTTGCACATTTTCTATGAAACAGAAATTGTGCAAAGACGTAGACACCCATTTAAG